TTTTGATGTGCTGTCATGCACAGAGTGTTCCAGTAACATTTACTTTGTACTTCAAAGACTATGAAACTGAAAACATGAAATTAAAAGTAAAAAGACACAGATGGTCCCGTTCAGTCCTTACTGCATAAAGGACAAGATGGGACTGTTTAAAGTGGGACCAAAAGTTGGCTCATCTAACATCATAACTCTTGATTTTTTTGAGTATATCTTACAGCGTTTTAAGTTTACAGCAAAATTGAAGAAGGTGCAGGATCTCATAGACTTCCTACTCCTGGGCGCATGTAGTCTCCCCATCATCAATGTCACCCATAGAGTGGTCCATTTGTTATAATGAAGGCCCTACATTGGCACTTCACTATCACCCCACATCGGTAGTTTTCATTACAGTTCACTCTTGGCATTGTATCTTTTGTGGGTTTTCATCCATCATTATTTCATCATACAGAGTAGTTTCACTTAAAATTCTCTATGTTATATGTGCTTATTCCTCCCCACCTCCTCTAACCACCGTAACCATTAGTCTCTTTACTGACTCCATAGTTTTCCCACAACTTTTTTTAAAGTAAGTCTTGATTAGAGTGACAAAATAAGTATTCAAAAATATTAGTTTTTTTTTTTTTTTAGAACATCTCAAAAGCAATGTTCTCTTACATCTGTGATACTGTCATAGTATTAAAAGCAGACCTTGGGAAGCTGGGCCTGTTGGTACATGGCTATAATCTGGTAGGCTGAGGCAAGAGGATTGCAAGTTTGAGCCTAGTTTGGGAGGCTTAACAACTTTATAACACCCTATTTCAAAAATTTTAAAGGCAATAGGTATAGCTCAGTGCCAAGCTCCTGGATTTGGTCAGCAACAACACACAAAAAGGTAGCATTACTTTCCCCAAAACCACTGAACTTCAGACCGAACAATTTTAAAGAATAAACTTTATTTTTTAGGGCAGTTTTAGAACATTACAGAATGGACTATAAAGTATAGACTTCACATGTATAGTACTTGCACGCATATACAGCCTCCTCCATTATCATTATCTAGCATTATAATATTTATTACAGTCGATGGACCTGTAAAAACACATCACGATCACCTGGAATCCACCATTTACATTAATGTTCCCTCCTGATGTTCATTGTTTTGTTTTATTTGGTTTTGTTTTTCAGACAGGGTCTCACTATGTGGTTCAGGGTGGCCTCAAATTCCAGGGAAGCAATCTTTCTGCCTCAGCCTCCCAAGTGCTGGAATTAGGCATGCACCACCGTGCTCTGCTCTCTTGGTGTTTATTCTTGAACCTTTTTTTTTTTAAACTGAACATCTTAATTCTCAGAATCATTGGAGCGTTAATTTCATGATGGCCACTGTTTGGGCTTATTGTTCTCTGGAAGTTTCCTTCATGTTCTTTTCTATATGTGCCCTTTAAAATAGATGAACCTGCTAGATAAAAATAGGTAATCAGAATTACAAAGTTAATTCTGCAGGTTATGCTTTTAGCAGTTGTGGTACAGTGCTCTTTTCTTGCCTGCCCATGTACATATATTCTGAGCCTAACTTGTTGTCCCCGATTTCAGTAGCAATTCATTTCCTACTACCCAAACTCATGCAGCAGTCAGGAGCCATGGACAGGTCTAGTCACAGGAGAACACCAATGTTTGACGTACAGGATGGCTGTATGTAAAATGACTAAGACATGGTGACATATTTAAAGAAATGCAGTTTCCTTTTTTTTTTTTTTTTTTTTTTTGTCTTTTTCCTTCTTACCGGTACCAGGGATCAAACTCAAAACTGCCTGCTTGCAAGGCAGGCACTTATGCCGCTGAGCTAAATCCCCAGCCCCCTATTTTAAATAATACTTAACCTCCCACTACTTTAATGCTAGAAGCATTGTTCTCACTGATGCATGCATGAAAGGCTTTTACTTTTGTAGAATACTTTTTGTTTTAAAAACGTCATGATGTGCATAGTAGAAAGAAGCACTGTTATTTAATAATTAAGAGCACAGAATAGTGCTTTCCATGTACCCCAGCATATAAGATACACGTAATAAATATTGCTATTGTGATTGAAAAAAATAATTGAAATGCAGTATTTCAAATATACTTCAGCAGAATGAAGATACTGTTTATGGTCAGAAGCTTAAAAGTAAGCTTTATTACTCAACAGTAATTCAAATAATTATAACTTAAATTGTCTGTAATTGAAAGACCTAGCATGTAAATATATTATTTTTTCCCTCGAGTGAAAATAAGCTTTGGGAAGGCAGTTTGACTGTTCACATTAAGAAATGTACTCTGAATTTTCAGTTCAACATTTTCTCAGTGCTCAATTCATAATTTCTCATTGTTTACCTCTTATCATTCATACATATAAAGTTTTTCCTTCATAAAGATATAAAGGAAATTTTTAATATTTCAGTATGTGGAATGGTGAAAGGGAGTGTTTTCTTTTACATTGTGCACATGCATTCAGATTTTTTAAAATTTATAGTTATTTGTTAAATGGAGGTGTTTGTTTCTGTTTTCTCTGCAGCTTACTTTTGCTCTTCACTTAAGTCTTAGAACATTTTTGCGTGTAAAGAACTATACATTTTTCTTTCCTCATTTGGAAGTATACATTAATATATTTGAGTCCCAGTATGGTGGTGGCATGGGTGTTTTTGGTGTTTTGCTATTATAATTTAGTTGAACATTTTTTTATTTTTTACATATTTGTGGTCTTTGGAAGTAGATAATTTTTACAATTTTAGACTTAAAGCATTTCAAAATATTTTACCATTAGGCACCACTAAAATTACAGTGACATGGTACCAAAGAAATAAGAAGATAGATGTGAATAATGCTCCTGTTTTACCAGGAGCATTTTAGCCTGCATATTGTGCAGTGCTTGCTTTCTCTCCATGGGGTTATCCGAGGTGTGCAGAGGAACGGAATATTTAGGGTGTAAGAGTTTATATTTAAAAATGCCTGTCCTTAGCATTGTACAACATCCATAGCATTCCTTCTTACTTGAAGGAAAATTATGTCAAAGGTTTGTTTTTGTTCCCAAGTAATTAGTCTGCATTATTGGAATGGAAGTAGTTTTCAGTATGTGCTTCTGGGGTTTTCTGTTGTTCTCAGCCAGAGAAATCTTAAGAGTATATGACATTTGCTGGGGATTTAGCTCAGCGGCATAAGCACCTACCTTGCAAGCAGGTGGTCATGAGTTCAATCCCCGGTACCGATAAAAAGATTTAAAAAAAAAAAGAGTATATGACATTTATAATAAAGGTAAAAATGGTCACTTTTACAGATATTGGTAAATAAAATTCAAGAAATACATTGTTAGGTGTGAACCTTAATACAAGTAATCATTTTCAATCAAAAAATGATTTTTATCACTTTCATGATAAAATATTTTTTGTTAAAAAAATAGTTTTGTGTTTGTTGACTTGAGTTAAATTGGGAAAATCAAATATAAAAATGAAGAGGTTGAATTAAAGATCACATTTGTTTGTAGCAAAATGAATTTTAATAAAGCAGTATCTCTGATAGAAAAACACCATCATTAACAAACCTTTTGCTTTCTTTCTTATAGGGCAGGGGATTGTTGGTTTGGTCTTACTTTTGTGGAGGTTGAACTGAGCTACCTCATCAACGCCCCCACCTCTTTGTTCTTAAATGTTGAGACAGGGAACTTGTGATCTTCCTGCCTTGGCCTCCCTGGCTGCTGGGATTAGAGGCATGCACCACCATACCCAGCTCTGTGTTTAACTTGTGAGAAACTACCACATTGTTTTCCACAGCAGCTATTTTATATGCCCCCAACAATGGGCAAGGAATCTAACTTCTGCACATCCTTGCCAACCCTTGTGATTTTCTGTTGTTTTGATAATAGTCATCCTAATGGATATGAAGTGACTTGTCTGTGGTTTTTATTTCACTTTCCCTAATGAGTAATGATGCTTTAACATATTCATGTTTATTGGCCACTGACTGACTATACATCTTTGGAGAGAAATGTCTATTTAAATGCTGTGTGGGTTTTTGAATTGGTTTGAGGTTTTTTGTTGTTGTCATTGTAAGCATCTCTTTATATATTCTGAATGTTTAATTTCTTCTTAGATTATTTGCAAATATTTTCTCCCACTATGAATTGTCTTCTCCCTCTTTTGATATTTGATACTGACCTTTCATGTACAGATTTTTTTTTTTTTTGTCTTTTTTGTTTTTATCGGTACCAGGGATCAAACTCACGACTGCCTGCTTGCAAGGCAGGCGCTTATGACGCTGAGCTAAATCCCCAGCCCCCATGTACAGGTTTTTAAATTTCCTTGAAGTCCTCTTTTTTTGTTGTTGCCTGTGTATAACTTAATTTCTGGTGTTAGCAGTTTACAAACAAATTTGTCATTAATGTAACAGAATTTCTTGGGATGGAAGGATATGCCATAAATTCAGACTTGGTTCCTCATGAGCTTCTTTATGGTTAAGTTCCTTCATTTGTCAGCAGGTACAGTGGGAAGCACCTCACAGGTTATTGGGCTATAAGAGAAAGCATGCCAATGCCATCTGTAGGGAAGACATGCCATTGTTTCAGCAAGTCGGTGAAAACAGCAACTCATTTTCATAAAGTACTATTGTTTATCTCAAGTTTTCAAAGCTTAAGAGATTAGACTTATTTTTATAGTAAAAGGTTGGTTAGTCAGGTTGTTCAAGCTTAATTGTAATATGCATTTATAAAAAAGGTTGCTTGAGCCAAGAGAGGGGCAGGGCTGACTCGAGCAACCTTTTTTATAAACGTCATTGTTTGATCACTTTTGTGTCTAGATTGTGTAACCTAAGCAACTAGCTCTGAGATAACAGTGTGAAATATGTGAACTAGTATTAATTCTCTACTTTTTTCTCTATTCTGAAATTGTGTCTTTTTTGTTTTGCTTTGTAAAATTTTAAAAAAAGGTTGCTTGATGTAAGTGAGCTTTTACATTTTTAATAGTTCTTTTAATGCAACCAATTTGTGTCTTTTCTTTAAGGCTTACATGAATCCAATAGCAATGGCCAGATCAAGGGGTCCAATCCAGTCTTCAGGACCAACAATCCAGGATTATCTGAATCGACCCAGGCCTACCTGGTATTTCTGAAACAATTTGTCTATTAAAAGCTTTTTAAAAACTTTTATTCTTACAACTTTCATTGATTGCCAATTCGTTGCCAGCTAAGTGATACTTTAAAAGTAGTATTTGACTATTTAACATGTGCTTTCTTTTGAATGTGAGAAACATATGCACAACTGTAAAATATTTGAGCACCTACTATCCAATAAATCGAAGATACTGCCCAGTAACCTTTTTATAGCAATCTTTTCTATCCCCTAAAATATTTTACTAAAACTTGCCGTATTCTAAACTATTTAAAGTAGTGAATTTGGTCTAGGGATTTAGCTTAGTGGCATAAGCACCTGCCTGACTATTGTGAGGTCATGAGTTCGATCCCCATACCAAAAATAAATAAAATAAAAAAGTGAATTTCAGCCAGGTATAGTGGCAGACACCTGTTATCTTAGCACTTTGAGAGGCTGAGGCAAGAAGATCATATCTTCAGTTCTAGCCTAGATTAAGTGATTTAATGAGTCCCCATCTCAAAATTTATTTTAAAAAAAAGGATGTAGCTTGACCTGGAGCAAAGACTCTAGGTTCAATCCTCAGTTTGAATAATTGGGCCCTTTGTTCGATATTTGACCAGACATTAAAAAGGGTGTTTATTCTTATTTCTAGTTTTATCTGCTTGTTTATCAGTGAGTTGAAAAAACTCATCAAATACCTTTGGCCTTTTGTTAATAAAGCATCCTAGAACAGGCTTTCTTATTTTTTAGTATATCTTTTGTATTACTAATACCATGCACACTGATACATGACAAACTTCAAAGTAGTTAGGTTTGAAACTATTAGAATCCTTCTAAATTATTTTGGATGCTGGTCAGAAGTGATTAAAAGGCGTGCTTTTGTCAGGCATGGTGGAGCACACCTATGATCTCAGCATTCATGAAGCTGAGGTAGGAGAATTGTCATGACTTTAAGGCCACCTGGACTGTGCAGCAAGACCCTATCTCACAAGAGATGGGGGGAAATGTGTGCTTATTTGTAAGAAGCACTCCTTTTGGGTTAAATGGAAAGTAAGCCTTGTCTGCTTCTTAAGTATATGACTGCTATTGCTAACCATTGCAGTATACTAGAAAGTAAACAACCCCAAAACAAAGCATATCTTATCATTAAAATGAGGAGAGGTGGTGTACTTGAAAGAGAAGTGCTCAAAGAGGCATATTGTGTTGTCAGCGTTAGGACAGCACTCCCCCAGACTGGTTCATCGTAGGATTCAGTAGGAGTGTCAGCCATGATCACATCAAAAGATTGATTACAGTGGAATAATAGCAGTCAGCAGTGGGGAAAGTTACATGTCGTGAAGGCCTGTGTAGTCCTCTTCCCCTGCAACCCTACAGGACACACTTAATTCCCAGCAAAAAGCAGTGACCCTCCCTGTGATCTTGCCCATCAAGGAGGCTCATTAGAGACCCTGCATCCAGGGATTTCCATTCAAGTTGAACATACTGCCTGTCACATTGCAGAATCTCAGGTTTCAAGAAGGAGAGGACACTCAACCTGAGCTACGTTGTTTGTGAAGACAGTTTAGGAGTAAGCAGCTCTTAATCAGTGCATGGTAATTAACATCCTGAAATCCAAATTGCCAGATTACTATCTTGGGCCAGTCTTTTTTTTTTTTTTTTTTTTTTTCTTTTTCCTTTTTTATCGGTACTGAGGATCAAACTCACGACTGCCTGCTTGCAAGGCAGGTGCTTACGCCACTGAGCTAAATCCCCAGCCCCCGTTGGGCCAGTCTTATGAGCAGCCCTTCTAAGAATAAGCAGCCAGGATACTGTGTTAACTTTTCTCTGCAAATGGGTCAGGCACATTATAAAGTGGGAGATTTAGTAATAGAATCCAGCATTAGGGTCAGCTAGCTTACCCTAATGCTGAAACTATCAGCTTTATGACTTCAGATTACTTAGCTTCTCTAAGCTTCATTTTCTTTATCTAAAAAAGTAGGAGTATATACTGACTTTCTTTACAGGGTTATTATGAGGATTAAATGAAAATATATTTAAACAGCGAATATTGTATGTAAGTACTCAGATGTTGAGTTTGTTAACTCTCTAAATTGATGTTTAGAAAAGGAATGATTGGTCAGGGATTTAGCTCAGCAGGATAAGTGCCTGCCTTGCAAGAACAGGTTGTGAGTTCAATCTCTGGTACAAAAAAGAAAAGAAAAGGAATGATTATGTTATCTGATATATTATTTACATATGTGGATGGAAAAATTTTAAATGTATTAACATTGGGATGGAGGCCTATTAGTAAAAATGCAGTTATGAAATTTTTGTTATCTTGGGGTTCTTTGGGCATTTTTGTTTTGATTTTTGGTACCAGGAATCAAACTCGGGACCTCACCTTGGCCAGTCAGGCACTGTGCTACTGAGCTGTATCCCAGCCCTGTTATTTTGTTTTTAAGCTTCAATCATATGTGAAGTTCTTGGAAAATTACTTGTACATTCTGTTTTTTAAGGGAAGAAGTGAAAGAGCAACTGGAAAAGAAAAAAAAAGGCTCTAAGGCTTTGGCTGAATTTGAAGAAAAAATGAATGAGGTTTGTAAATAGTACTCTTTTTTTGGGGGGGGGGGGTCTTTTTTGTTTTTTTCGGTACCGGGGATCGAACTCATGGCTTCCTGCTTGCAAGGGAGGCGCTTATGCCGCTGAGCTAAATCCCCAGCCCCAGTACTCTTTAAAGAAATAAACTAATCTTTTTTCTTATAGAGGCCATAGATCTTTAGGTTAAAGAGGCTCTTTTTTAGGACTTCTGCCATATTGAACACAAGTTTGTATTTAAGTGGGTGCTTTCTTTTAGCCAAAGAAAGAAAAACTATCTCATAATTCAAATCATTTACATTTTCTAAATGTTTGATTCTTTCCCTGCATTCCCTATTCAACCCTGAGATTTCCATGGTGATATTTGCTTGTTTTATATACACATGTGTATTGTGTCAACAGAGTAAAGATTATTCAGCTTTTACAGCCTAGAAAGAGATTCTTGCTATCTTTATTAAAAGGCAAACAGGCCTCAGCCCCACTTAAAGTATCTGTTATACCTCTCACTGTACACTGGGGAAATTCCCATCCCTTAGTGTCTGCTGTAATTCAAAGCCGAGGTGGTGAGCATTTTAAAGGGTGGAGGGAAGGAAGCACTGTAGTAGTTTTCTACACTACATCTGTTAAAGGGACTAATAGCATCTAACAATGTCTGTATTCTTTATAGAATTGGAAGAAAGAATTAGAAAAGCACAGGGAGAAATTGTTAAGTGGAAATGAGAGCTCGTCAAAGAAAAAACAGGTAATACTATTTTTACTATAAAGTCATATTTGGTTTTTTTTGTTGTTGTTTTGTTTTGTTTTTTGTCTTTTTCTTTTTTTTATTGGTACCGGGAATCGAACCCACGACTGCCAGCTTGCAAGGCAGGTGCTTATGCCACTGAGCTAAACCCCTTGGCCCCATAAAATCATATTTGAATTTCCACAATAATGCTGTGTACTACTATTAACAGATGAATTTGAAAGTTCACATCGATTTATTTAGACTTGTATTTGTTTTTATTCAGAGAAAGAAGAAAGAAAAGAAGAAATCTGGTAGGGTGAGCAAAAGTTTTCCATTTTTCTAAAAGTTACAATTAAGAACCTACAGAAGAAGTAAGAATAGTTGATTTAAACTGTATGCTCAAAACTCTGGTATGCTAAATGATAATGTGATGGATGGGTGGTGAGGGTCTCTCAGTGACAGGAAAGAAAGATTCCAGTCTTCTTGCAAGCTACCAACTCCTTGGTTGCTATTAAAAGAGGACAGTTGATGACATATGTTGTCACTTGGTTGAGCCTTTTGTGGGGAGGTGGTATGACTTCTAAGATTTGATATTTAAAATCTGACAAATATGGCATCTGTTTCTCAGACACTAGATTGATTTTACTAAGTACTTGAGAGACTTTGTAAAAGAAAACAATTCCTGCATCTCACAAGCTTTAATTGTTTTGTGCTTGGTCAAGTATTCATCTTCTTCTTCATCAAGCTCTGATTCTTCCAGCAGTTCTTCAGATTCTGAGGATGAGGTAAGACTTGCTTAAAGTCATTCATGAAGTAGTATTTCTAACCTACTTAATGTCAAGAGGAAACTTACTGTGAAGTATCTTCTAGGAATGCATCCTAGCAAGTTTTGATTCCTTTTTCCATGATTTAAAAGCACTGGCATGAATAAATTAAATGAGATACTTAAATATTATTGTATATGTATATTTTAAATGTTTATTTAAAAATACCAGAATATTTGAAAAATGTAAAATTATTTTGGACTAGATGGTCAGGATTATATGTAATTGCAATCACTTGCTTTTTTTTTTTTTTTTTAATAGAAAGGGGCCATGTTGCATTAAGTGTGGCAATTAAATCCTAGCCCACACCTGTAATTCTAGCAGTCTGAAAGGCCGAGGCAGAATGATTACAAACTCAAGTAGGACCCTATCTCAGAATAAAAACAGTTGAGAATATAGTTCAGTGCAAAATCCTAATACCACACACACACACACACACACACACACACACACACACAAAAGAATAGTAATTAAAAGCTGGTTCTTCTATTAAGTTTGGTTCATTAATAAAGTTTTAATATTAATGAAATGAATAAATTATTTCTGAAACTGAAAACATGTTTCTAAAAATCTTTTATGTAGGAAAAGAAGCAAGCAAAAAGAAGAAAGAAAAAGAAGAATCGTTCACATAAATCTTCTGAAAGCTCCCTGTCAGAAACTGAGTCAGACAGTAAGGTAAAAAAAAAATTGCTTAAATTATTAACATTTTTTGATAGCAAAGACAGCTAAGTTTTTTTTTTTTTCTTCCTTCCTGCCTTAACCACTTAGTCCAATTATTTAAATACAAGGTGACCAAAAATTGCATGGTTTTGTCATTGATTTTTATAAAATAACAGGAAATCTCAAAATGTTATTAAATTTATTCTGTACAGTAATTGGCTGGTAAAAATGAAAACTGCTTGAGTGATTTCAAGATAGTACATAAACAGACATGTTGCCCCACGGGATACAAGGGTAGACTGTTACATGGTTAAATTGCTCTAGTGTCAGAAGATACTGTTTGCTTTTGTACTTTGATATTCCTGTGTCACTTAACTGATATACTTAATATCTTACCTTTAGCATTTAAGAGTTCTCTCCAAGTACTTTCATAAATATCATGTCTGTGATAGTATTTTCCCCATTCTCTGTCTGTCTGTCTGTCTGTCTCTCTTTTTCAGACAGGGTCTTGCTGTGCAGTTCAGGCTGGCCTTGAATTCACTTTGTAGCCCAGGTTGGTCTTGAACTTGCAACAATCCTCCTGCCTCTGCCTCCTCTGAGTGCTGTGATTACAGGTGTGCACCACCATGCCCAGCACTCCCTATTCTCTTAAAGAAATTTTAGTTTAGAGAAGAAAATCTTGTTTAAATGCATACAACTAGTGTTAAAATTGAAGGTTGAATGAGTATCTACAAATATCTGGTCTAGTGCCTTTCATGTTGTACCATCCTAAATTTGTTTTGTACCAACATACCCAGAATTGTCATTTGACCTTTAGCAATGTTCAATAAAAATGTTCATTCCAGACTAGGGATATAGCCCAGTGGCACAGTGCCTGCCTGGCAAGCATGAGGTCCTGAGTTCAATTCCCAGCACCAAAAAAAAAAAAAATAATAATGTTCATTTTATGGGCCAGAGGTATAGCATGGTGGTAGAGTGTGTGCCCAGCATGTTTGCAGGCCCTGTGTTCAGTCATCTGTACTGGGGTGGCAGGGGGTAGTGGGGGTTGATTTCTGGACTCTTATCTCAGTATGATTTCTTTAAGCTAATTAGGCTCAGAAATAGTATGGTATATATCTTTAGCACATGGCCTACGTGATTCTGATAGAGGTGTCCATGGAGTGTAATTTGATAGACACTGTACTAAAGTCTTAGGAAACTAAAACAAAATGTTTGGATTTTATAGGTTTTTGTTTTGTTTTGGTGGGGCTGGGGATTTAGCTCCACGGCATAAGTGCCTGCCTTGCAAGTGTGTGGTCGTGAGTTCGATCCCCAGTACCGATAAAAAAGAAAAAAAAAAAATAAAAAGGAATTTTGTTTTGGTGCCAAGAATCAAACACACAGCCTTGCACATGCTCGGCAAGTACTGTGCCACTGAGCTGTATCTCCAGACCTGCATTTTGTAGATTTTATCTGCTTGGATCAGTGAACATTCTTCTGGCAAAATGCATAACACCTAAAAAATAATAAATATTTGTTTTCTTTGTCTTTTAACCGTAAGCAGCGGTCTTATAGTAATGATAGCTAACATTTATTAAGTGCCTACAATGTGTTAAGTATTGTTTTGAGCATTTGACTCCTAATTCATTTAATTTAACAAGCCTGAAGGAAAGGTTGAAGAAGTTGTTAATCTACTTTGTGCATAAAGAAACTGAGGGTCTGGGAGATTCTAGCTAGAATTCAAGGACTAAAAGCAAAAATTCTTGCTCTCCGCCTGATGAGAAGAATGAACAAATCAGACTGGTGGATAATTGGAGCATAGTGTGGTCTAGAGTTTGAACTGGGCGTGGTGGCACACACCTATAATCCTAGCACTCTGGAGACTGAGGCAGGAGGATTGCCATGAGTTCAAGACCAGCCTGGGATACATAGTGAATTGAACAGCAGCCTGAATTACATAGGAAGACCTTCTCTCCAAAAAATGATAGATAGAACTCCAGTGCATGTGGCCACCAGAGGCAGAGGCCAGCAGTGACAATAAATCTTATTCTAAACTTCTGTATAGGCAGGTGCATTTGGGCATACCTGTAATCCCAGCATTTGGGAGGCTGAGGCAGGAAGACTGCTGCAAGTTCAAGGCCAGTTTGAACTGCACAGTGCCACCCTTTCTCAAATAGACCAAAAAAAAAAAAAAAAAAAAAATGCGTGTTTCAGACTATTTTAGAGATATGTAGATTGGATAAAGAAAGAAGCGTGATGACTTATAACCAAATACCTACATAACAGATTTCTCTTGTATTTTAAGAATAATATGCTGATATTGGAGTAAACTTTTTTCACACATGAAGCATATCATTGTTCTGAATTTTTGTCCTTGTTCTATAATGATGTATACATTACATTGAAAAGTGATATGTATATATATATATATATATATATATTTATTTGTATAGGATAGTTTAAAAAAGAAAAGGAAGTCAAAGGATGCAGCTGAGAAGGAAAAGGTAACTATCTTTATCTTTACATTACCTTAAGATAGTCTGTCTTACAACATTTAATTCATTTCACAAAATGAACTATAATTATAGCAATTTTTAACTTGGAAGTACTTATTTTACTTTTATGGCATTTTATGTTGATGGTAAAGAAATTTTCTAATTTGCTTTCTTCTTTTCTTCTTGTTTTTTTTTTTTTGGTACTGGGGAGCTCGAACTCAACCTCGCACTTTCCAGGCAGGCGTGCTTATGCCGCTGAGCTAAATCCCTGGCCCTCTGCTTTCATTTTTGAAGTTAAAATTCAGGAGAGTATTCCTGCAGAAAGGTTTAATTTCTGTTATTTGACGAATTATCACGGATTTTTTAAAATAATGGAGATTAAACATTTCCTTCATTTCCAGTGAGCACCACTGGGGCCTTGGCTTTTGAGCCCAGATCCTTCAGCAGGCTAGGCCTGTGCTTTGCGACTGAGCTACACCTTCACTCTTCCTTCCTTTTTTAGAACAAGCGATAAAATTTTATTTGCATCAAGTTGTGTTTTCTGATAATAATCAGTGAAAATGTGGCAGAAGGTTGGACAGACTCTTTTCAGTGCTCTGAAAGTATTACAGCTTCAACAGTTTAATAAAAGCACTTGTAATACAGTGGAAAGTTGCACTTTCCTTTTCCTTTTTGTAAGGTTTTGTTTTTGTTAGTGTATGCTTGCAGTACATGGTTGTGTTCATCATGTGGAGTTGACAGTATTTTGAGACAGTCTTGCCAGGATTCCCATGCTGGCCTTGAGCTTGTGGTCTCATCTTCCTAAATAGCTGGGATTATAAGTGTTAACACTACACCCAGCCCCCTCAAGGATTTTAAATTAGGTTCTTAAGTTACAAAACATCAGACAACCTTGGAGGCTCAGGCAAAAAGATTAATAAATATGAGACCAGCCTGGGTTACGTAAGAGTTCGAGACCAGTCTGGACTACATAGTGAGATCCTTTCTGTAAATAAACAAATGTATAAATACATTCACACACACACACATGCATGCATGCATACAGAATATGAGCATGTGTTTCAAATTGAATATACTATAAATAAATTTTGGGAAAATATTGTTGTAAGTGGATGTTTATCTTCACTTATAACTTAGCTTTTTTTTTTTTTTTCTTAAGAGACAGGGTCTCCTTCTCTTGCCCATGGTAGCCCCAAATTGTGCTTAAGAGATCCTCCTACATCAGAATCTTGAGTAACTTGGACTTTGGGCTCTGGGCACGTGGCACAACTCATTTATATCTAATACTAAAAAAGAAAGCCCTGTGATTTCAATAATTGCCCAAAGGATGTATTGTAATTTAGCATTAATTCTGATACTAAAAACCATTATAAAATAATTACTTTCCTATTTTAAGGGATGTGAGCTGAAATCTGGTAATACACATAGAATATTAAAACAAAAGCATTGTGATTTTTTTTTTTTTTAGTACTTCAAATACCACATAATAATGAATACCTATATACATACTAGCTAGAATGAATGTTCTACATATTTCAAACTTTTGGGTTTTTGGTTCGTTTGCCTAGAGTGGTTTTGTTTGTGTTTTGATTTGGTTTGGTTTGGTTTGGTTTGGTTTGGTCTGGTTTGGTCTGGTTTGATTTGGTGGTGATGTGTTTTTTAGTCTTGGGACCTGGTACGTACTATTCAAATCACAGTTTTCCTTTTCCATGGTTACTGTTACTTTTGTAAGTTGTACCTGGGACCATAATTTCTGTATTCTGGGAGGCACATACATTTAACTGAACTATGTTTCACTCACCAAGATGCTTGTTGAAATTTGCATTTCTGCTAGTAGTGTATGAATATCTCCAAACTTCACATACTTGTCAGCTGCACATGAGAGAGTCTCCAAAAAAGACCATATACTGGCTCGCAGAACATGCTTAAGAAAATACAAAGGAATTGAGATTTTCCCATGCATACTGTTAGATCACAGTGCAATGAAATTGGAAACCCATGGCAAAAGAAACCATAAAAATTTCATAAACACATGGAAATTAAATAGGACCCTCTTGAACAATCAGTGAGTCACAGATAAAAAAGAAATTAGATACTTTTTACAGTTGAATGATAATTGCAGTACAACACACTAAACTTATGGGACACAGTGAAAGCAGTCTGAAGAGGGAAATTTATAGGAATGAATATCAATATCAGAAAAATAAGTGCATATAAACAACTTAATGGTGAACCTCAAACTTCTAGAAAAAGAAGAGAGGCTAAGCCAAAAGCTCATTAGAAGGAGGAATTGTAAAGATCAGAGCAGAAATTAACACACTGGAGACTAAAAAATATACAAAGATTCAGTGAATAGAAGAGTTGGTTCTTTGAAAGATTAAATAAAATCAACAAACACTTATCTAACCTTATTTTAAAAGGAAAGAAAAGACTCATCTAACATGTAGGAATGAAAAGTCAACATTATACTAAATGGACAAAAACTGAAAATTACCTAAAATCAGAACAAGACAAGGATATCCACTGTCTCCACTCTTATTCAACATAATCCTGGAAACTTCAGCTGAGCAGTTAGACAAGAGAAAAAAATAAAAGGAATATAGATAGGAAAGGAAGAAGTTAAACTATCATTACTTGCAGATGGCGTGATACTACATTGAAGACCCCAACAACCCCATCAGAAAACTACTAGATTCGATAAGCAAATTTAGTAACACAGCTGGATAGAGTCAACACTCAGAAATCAATAGCCTTCCTGTACACAAAAAACAAACTCACTGAGAGAAATCAGAGAAGCAAAACACCTTTCACAATAGCATCCAAAAAAATGAAATACCAAGGAATCAGCCTAGCAGAGAATTCAAAAGACCTCTAGATTGAAAACTGCTGTACTCTGAAAAAAGAGATTGAAGAGGGTATTAGAAAATGGAGAGAGATCCTGTGCTCTTGGGTAGGAAGAATCAATATAATGAAAATGGCCATACTTCCGAAACTGTTACACAGATTCAGTGCAGTCCCAATCAAAATTTCAATAGGATATCTCACAGAATCAGAAAACAATTGTGAAATTCATCTGGAACCAGAAGAGACCTAGAGTAGCAAAGGAAGTTCTAGTCAACAGAAAGAAGACAGTGTACATCACAAGATCTTTACAATTCCTCCTGACTTGAAATTATACTATAAAGCTACTGTGATCAAGCCAGCATGATATCGGCAGAAAACAGACCTGAAGATCAGTGGAACAGATGAGAAAATGCAGAAACATTTCCAGACACACTAGGCCATCTTATCTTTGACAGAAGTGCCAAACACATTGACTGGAAGAAAGATAGCCTCTTTAATGAATGGTGCTAGCAAAACTGGCTGTACATATTGCTAAACATTACAATTGGACCCATATCTTTCACCATGCATGAAGCTAAAGTCAGAATGGATCAAAGATCTTAATATTAAAACAAACATTAAATCTGCTGGAAGATTGAATAGGTAAAACTCTTAAAAAGACATTGATATAGGCAAAAATTTTATGAACAAAACCCCAGTTGCACAGGAACTATCACACAGAACCAACAGTGAAGATCTTATATTGAAACTTTTGCACAGGAAGAGAAACCAACAGAGTAAAGAGAAAACCCATGTTTGCAAGCTGTGCCTCAGACAAAGGATTACTATTAGGAGCATATAAAGAACTTAAAAAAAAAAACAGTCCTTCCAGATTTAAAGACCCAGTCCAAAAATGGGCAGCTGAGATCAATACAAACTTCTCAAAGGAAAAAATACAAACAGTAAATATTTGAAAAAATGTTCAACATCACTGGTCATTCGAGAGATGCAAATTAAAACACTGAGATTTCACTTCACCTCAGAAAAAATGGATTTATCAAGAAATCTTGCAATAACAAAGGAGGGAATATGGGGAAAAGGAACACTTTTCCACCTTTGGTGGGAGTGTGACCACTGTGCAACCACTGTGGAAATCGTGCTTCTCAAAAACCTAGGATTGGAGGTCCCATTAGACCCAGCTATTCCCTTTCTGGGGGTATCTTCCCTAATGTGTGGGCACAATTTGTAGTTGCAGGATCTTTGAAACAACCCAAATGCTCATTGACTGAGGAATGGATAAAAAGGATGTGGTCTTTTTCTGCAATGGAGTATTACTCAGTCATAAAAAGGGATAAACTAGAAACTTTTATAGCTAAATGGATGCAACTTGAGACCATACTCATTAGTGAAATAAGACACATATGTAAATATCGTAGTGTCTCACCAGTGTAAAAAGCTGAAAGTAACAACATACATATATATGTATGCATATCTATATAAAAAATTTAAAATAGTTATTTAAGATAGTTATGCTGATTTCTCTGAGTTCATTGAAGAGAAAGATTTGTGCTGATATTGTTCAAACAGTTGAATGCAAGATGTCTTATGCTATGGATGAATGATTTGAGGATGACAATGCACAATGTATGTACCATTGTTGCCCCGACTGATACATTTTCAAATTTGGTTTTCTTTTTTCTTTCTTTCTTTTTTTTTTTTTTCTCTTTGAAATAAAATGCATTTTAAAAAATAAATGAATAAATAAATTGAAAGTATTAAAAAATTCTGTCGTGTATAACTTAAGGCTGTAAGGGGGCTATAACAGCTAAATTAATACATTCTTTTCAAGTTATTCAATAAAATTATTGCTCTTTTGGAATTAAAGAAGAGACCTAGAATAAAATTAGGAATTAAAGAGGTAAATCTTAAATCTTGGTAAATAAGTTTTAGGCATTTCTTAATTGAAAAATTATAATTTTGTGATCATTGGAAGAATTAAGAAGAAATGGATTTAGAAGCATAAATTTCATGTAACATAGTATTACATCTTTTTTGAATGAAGATAAGTGTATTTCATTTGTCACAGGACATTAAAGGACTTACCAAGAAAAGAAAGATATATCCTGAAGATAAACCATCATCATCTGAATCCTTGTCAGAGTCAGATTATACTGAAGAGGTGAGTAAAAGAAACGAAAGTTGTTGCATTTCAGAGTAAGTCTTGCATTTTTCTAGAAGGTAATTAACTGTATTCCCACACAAGTAAGGCAAAATTCAGTTTTTGTCCTGTTATTTCAGAGCCCATGTTTTTTTTCTCCACAGTACTGTACTGCTTTTTGGTGTTGAATGGGAATATAAGAAGCCTCTGGAGTTCTAAGAATCTTCATTTTCTTTTTTAATGTATTTTTCATGGAAACCTCATACATATATGATTGTCAGAATGACTGTACATTTGACTTTTGTACATGTAACTTTTAAAAATGTAAAATACAGAGAATGAATGAAAAATGTATTAAGTACAAATTACATGTTTGTCTTCTCCACAAAAATTTCCACTTTTTAGGTACGAGCAAAAAAGAAGAAAAGCAGTGAAGAACGAGAAAAAGCAACAGCAAGTATCTCTTACATTTTTACATGATAGTGCAGAGTCATTTTGATACACAATGAGCTAACTGTGCTAAATTTACTGGGGCCCAGTTGGGAAACGTGTGGTGGTAAGCAGCTTCACTGAGTGGAGGGTCTGACTGGCTTAGAACAAAAGAAGCATGCTCTGGTAGCAAATATAGCTTTGTCCATCCTCATAATCTTATGGTTAGAAATAAGAGCTCAAGCTTTCAGTTGATGTTTTTCAGCTGTAATAAAGTATAAACTTAGGTTGACCAACCTAGAACAGAAAGTCTCTCCAAGCACTGGCTGCATGGAAAAAGCCAGTTTTCAGCAATTCCTCTATTATGCAAATTGAGAAATAGCAAAGGGAAAAAAAAAAGAATTAAGAAATGGAAGCCATATCTAAATGAGAAGCAGCCCAACAGAAAGAAAGAGCAGTGCCCACCCCATCAGCAGGCCACATAGGGACCCTCTGTCCACATGCTAGGTATCGCCTTTGGAAGCATCATCTTAGGGAGAGGTGAGGAAAGTATGGAAAGCATCGGGCTGGGCTATCCCTAGTTCTTAGAGGAGTAACCCCCAGTGTCAGAAAGGAGGATTTACCTAGGAATGTGTGGTTCAGAAGTAGCATTGTATCTGCTTTCAGACCAAGGTGGCATTTTGTTTTTTTCCAAGGTGGAAAATAATTTGGGTGGAGACTACTCTGGTACCGGCACAGCTCTCATAGTTCCCAGGAGGAAGGGAAGAGGATGGAGAAATACATAAGAGACAGTATACAGAAAGCTGAGGTCAGATGGAGCCCTCTCTGCAGATGAGAGGAAAGGAAATGTTCAACCACCATAGCTTATTTATACATTTGGCAGACTGGTGTCACACCACACCCGCTTTGCCTAGCAAACCATTGCTTGAATTGTCCAGGGGGCTTGGTGTTCTCTGAATTGAAGTAGCTTGTTCTCGGGGTTGCCTTTGGTGCTCTTCCTTCTTAGACCAGGCTTACCTTGCCCCACACCTGTGATCATTTTACAGCTTTAGCCACTCCCTACATCTCTTTCTGCTTTATAGTTGCAAGCAATTAGTGGTCAGTTAAAGTTGGATGAGCTATGTTTGGAGGACTTTTGCTGACAGCTTTTTTTTTTTTTTTTTTTTTTTTTTTTTGTGGTTATACTTTGCTGTAGGATTTTCAAGAACAAGTTAAAGTGAGAACTGTATTAATTAAAGTTAATTTTTTGCTATTAAGCTCAGCTAAGTCTCCTCAGGAATTACTTTGGAACCATGCACAGCACCTTTTAGTACTTCTATTAGTGTCAGCTGTTTGGATGAGTCATAGCCGTCATTACTTGACCAATTTGCTTTCTGGGAAAGCTTGCAAGGTTTTTCCTTCTGCGGACTCTCCTTCAGCACACTGTACATTGTAAATCACTGTCCTCTGTGGTCCCACAGTCTCCTGGGTCGGAAGGTCTGGGACTTATGGAGTTATGAGGTGTCACAGAAGAGGTTTTCTTATGTCCTGGGTCCTCAGTGACCTCAAAGGGCTAGGGCTAAAATACTGTCTTCATAGCCCATCTATTTTTCTGATTTTTGGTCTGCAGACCTTACTTATTGAACATCAAGACGAGAAGGTTAATGACATTACATTGTAATAAAGGCAGTAAGTTTAATAGTATCTTACCTAATATCAAGCACTTCAGAACATAAAACTGTTACTTTTCTAACAACCATGGATGTTCTCGTAATGGAAATCCCTTTAGAATGTTAACAGTTATGTATTTTACACAGAAAACTAGAAAGCAAAACTGCACAGAATATTGTAACATGACAATTAAGATGACATTTTTGTAACACATGAATTGCATCTTGATATGAAATACCCCATTTAGTCAATCATTTTTATCTAATACATAAAATTTTATCTAACTTATTGACCTTTAGTGGGATATACATCTCGTAAGTTTTTGGTAAAGGCAGAGATCTGAATCTGAAAGAAAAGTCTGTCTCTGTAAACATTACCTATTTTACATTTTGGAAGACCTGTACATCTGGAGGCATGAATACATGTAATGCACCACAAGGTTAATAACAATCAGTTGTCATAGGTATATGAAAACCTTTGTACCAGAGCATCTTTAAATCAAAAACATCATTGTCTGGAAAACTTAAATCCTTTTGGTGATGACCAAAGTAAACATAGCACAATAATGTATTTTTAATAACAATTACTGGGGTATCTCTCATAAGGCTATCGAGATCATTGGGGCCTTCCAACAGTGCACAGGAACTGGTTAGTATTCCAGGCAGATGCTTTCTTATTTATCAGTTGGAATCCTGTCCAATAATTTCTTCCCCCACAAGAGATTTTTTGTCTACTTTTCTTAATAATTTTTAATGACTTATGAAAGCCCAGTCACAACATTAAACACAGTATTTTTGAACAGTGAAAGACTAATATCAAAATACATAAATAGAGGAATTTTGGAAGATGGCAGCTTGCTAAGTAGCTAGGTAGAGAGCCTCTCTGGGAAAAACAACTCAGACACTGGAATTTGACAACATAGAGAGGACTGGAATGAGTGGAGAGGGATTCTCACGACCCCAGGAGGAAACTGAAGGAAAAAGAAAAATAGGAAGAGGAAGGAAACATGCAGGTGGAGGGCTGGAGCCGGATGTACTCACTGAGACCTGTCCCGCACTATGCTGGGAGTACCTTGGATTCGGATGATTCGAGGTCACACTGCACCCGCCGATAACGGGAGTTGGTGAGTGCCAGGCCTTGGCAGTAGGACATGACACAGTGTGTAGTGGTGCCAAGGTGGAGAGCTTCTTCTGGTGAGTGCTGGACATTGGGTCCTGTGGCGGGTGTGGATGGCTGGAAGATATCTTGGAGTAGACCAGAGCCCGGCACCATGGTTTTGTCAGTCAGCCGCCCCTGGCCCAGAGAGAACTGGTGGAATCCCCTTGGGCTGAGTCACACCCCTGGTCAGGTCCCAATACCCAGGGACGAAACTGTCGTAACCGACAGGACAGCCTATGTTGCTGTAGGCATTTTCGATTGGCACAGAGGAGAGGGGCCAGCCCACATCGTCCCTGCATGCACCTGAGATAACAGCAAACTGGAAAGGGCAGCAAAACTCCAGCCAGCACACTTCAGAAAAAATGTAGGCAATATGGAAACGGCCTGAGACCTCCACCACACACCTGTCTGAAAGAAACCAGAAACATGGCAAGAGAAAAAAGTAAGAGAAAACCTCCAGCTTCTGACCCTGGGAAAATAAGCCTAGGAGAGGTAAATACAGAAGAGAACCCCAGCAATCATGCTGTATTAGCCAGAACATCAGCAGACATAAAACCTTCGTGACCTCATAGACGAACTTAAAACTGAAATTCTAATCCAAGTGAGGCAAGATATAAAAAGATTAATTAAAGAAATGCTAAACCCCTCTCAAGAAAACACAGAGGGAAGAATGGAGGAATCCAGACAAGGAAGAGAAACCTGTGGTGTAGAACATAAACAAAATCTAGAATACATAAAACAGATCCAAAGAGATTACCAGAAAACTAAAAACTCCATTGAAAGTTGGCAAAATGCCTTGACAGAAACTAAAGTTAGCCTTTCGAAACTTGAGAGACTTAGAATGTGTGATTGTGAAAGAAAAGACCTATTAAAAAAACAAGGAACCAGGAAGTAACAATTCAAAGGCTAGAAGACAAGAGGATCTATAACTTAAGAATAAAAAATGTGAGTGAAGAAGCAGAAGTAACCACAAATGAATTACAAAGACTTCACAGAAATAATGAAGGAAAACTTCCCAAGCAGAGGAAAAAGAAATGAGGCATACAGGACTCCAACCAACTACAACCGAAATAGATTTACACTCAGACATATAATAACAAAGATCCCAGAAATCCACCACAAGAACAGAATATTAAAAGCAGCTAGAGAAAAGAAGATCACCTACAAAGGAAAAATCATCAAAATAATGACAGACTTATCAACATAAACTATCAAATCAAGAAGAGCCTGGGGGGAAATAGTCCAAGCCCTGAAAGAAAATAATCTCCAACCCAGATGGATGTACCCTGAAAAACTCTCAAAATTAATGGAGAAATAAGCTGTTTTCAAGACAAGAAGGAACTATGGGAGTTCATGGCCATCAATCCAACCCTACCAAAAATACCAGGATTCTAGCAACAGTGGCAGAGAGGCCTCAATGAACAGGGCAGACAGTGGAATGAAGGAGAAAAGTGATCAAATAATAACAGATAAACAATAGCAGAGTTGAGGCAGAGAAGGTAGGCTATAATCTTTAATATAGATAGCCCTGATACAAAAAGAAACACAAGCAGAGTAGATTAGGATCCATCGAGATGCTCTGAATAGGAAATACACTCAACCTGAAAGAGGGTTAATAAACTGAAACTCAAAGATGAGAAACCGATGCTTTATGTGACAGGGAACCAGAGAGAAATAGAGACAACTTGTTCAGCAGCCGCAGATAGGTTGGAAAGTTACGACACTTTTGTGCAGTGTTGAATTACACAGCTAGAAGGAAGGAAAATCTTGTGGCTTTAGTAAGTAAAGGAGTACAGCTCAAGATCAAGCTCAGGGGTAAACAGGTTCAGCACCACTCAGACAGATAACGGGATAACCCCCAATCTAAAACTAAAGGAGCTAGTGGGACCCAAAAAATACAAAGCATCCTGAGAAAGGGAAAGGTGAGGAACTGTCTACAAAAGGAAGGCAAAGGACACTGTTAATAGTGTATCAGGATTTAAAAGCCACAGTAGTCTTACCGCTTTGTTTAGTTTGATTTTATTTTGTTTCGGTCTGTCTACTCACACTAGATTTGAGGGCACAGACAGCTATCCCAAAAATAGCAGGCTTAATTTCCTATTAACTTAATCTGAATCTCAGTATTACTAACATTGTCTTACTATGACTGATCTTATTTGAAGTTGGTTTGTTAGACCACTATTTTACCTTGACTGATTTTATTCGAATTTGGTATGCTTGATAGTATCAAGTCTAAGAGTAGAGGCACCTCTCTGAAGACGACAAGATACCCATTCTGGTTTGATTATTAACTGCTTTTGAAGTCCTACAATGTCTCCAAAGTTGTGTTGTATTAAAATAGCTATGTAATGCTATGTTCAATTATAGTGTGTCTGATGATTTGGACAATTGTATTGAAAATAACAAGAGAGGGGCTGGGGACTTAGCTCAGTGGCATAAGCGCCTGCCTTGCAAGCAGGCAGTTGTGAGTTTGATCCCTGGTACCGATAAAAAAAGGAAAAAGACAAAAAAAAAAAAAAAAAAAAAAAAAAGAAAAGAAAATAACAAGAGAAAGCATAGTAACTACTTTATATCATGTAATATTGTGGTTTTATATGCCTTTTTCATTTCATGATTTTCTAGGAATTTGTTGTCTTGCTATGATCTGTTTTTCCCTATAATACAGAAAGGATAGATATGCATGTAGAGATTCACACATAGGGAGAATTTCTAAACAGTTTACGGGAACAGATTATATAATGCACGATGTAATGAACAGATACTCTGAAGAAGAAAGACACTAAGAAACCTAGTGCTAATTCTGTAGCATTATGATATAAAATCTAGCAATACTATTATTCACTGTTCAGACTGGTATTAGTCTAGTCTCATGTTCAATTTAAACAAATGTAAAGATAAGGACAGCTACTATGAAGAGAATGAGAGACATGGCAGTCATTATTGACTTCCCCAATGTCAGGTCTATAATACCTAAAAAGCCTTCATCATCCTGTTATGATT